ACCTAAAAACTACATCTTGCTTCTTACTCTTCTAAGAAATAAGAGAAATGCCAAGAAAATACATAAGCCAGTGGTCGACTTGCTATCTGTAAGATCACCAACCTAATCAGTATCAGAGTATGCACGCAACTCTAAGGATAAAGTAGACGAAAGTAAAAGACTCTGAAATTGAGTGCCCCGAAGATACCTTAGAATATGAAGAACAGCAGCCCAATGAGTTGTAATGGACACAGTAACAAATTGACTAACTATATGAACAACATGTGCAATATCTGGACAAGTGATGGTGAGATAAACTAAGCCGCCAACAATAGTACGATATAAACTAGGATCCAGCAATGGAGAGCCATCAGACAGAGAGTACCGAGCATTAGTCTCAAGAGGGGTATCAACAACTTTATTATCAGTAAGACGTGCCGCTCAAATATATCAGCTATATTCTTGTACTGAGATAAAATATAACCTTTCGAAGAGGAGGCGACCTCAATGCCCAGAAAATAACGTAGCGTGCCCAAATCTTTCATTGCAAAGCAACGAGCTATCTTAGACTTTAAAAATGCAATTTCGTCAACATAATCACTAGTAAAAGTCATATTATCAACATATAAAGAGAGCAAATTATGACCTACACCAGTACATTTGATAAACAATGCCGAATCATGATGACTATGATGACAACCAAGCGAAGTATTCACAATAGAGAACTTCTCAAACCAATTTCGGGGTGCTTGTTTGAGACTATAAAGAGCTTTATCGGAGCCTGCAGACTTCACCAAGTTGGTGAGAAACACCAGAAAGAGGCTCCATGTAAACTTCTTCGTGAAGATCACCATTCAAAAAGGTATTTTTGACATCCATCTGAGATATGTGCCATCGATGAACAGATGCTACAACAATGAGCGTACGAACAGTAGTCATTTTTGCAACAAGGGCGAAAGTCTCCTCATAATCCATGTCATACTCCTGAGAGTAACCTTTAGCAACAAGTCGGCCTTTGTATCTTTCAATAGATCCATCGGACTTAGTTTTGATTTTGTA